GTTTGTGATGGGAAAGTTGATACGCGTGGGGGAAAAATTTTGACAGCCGTCAAATGGTTTCGCTGGCAACCAAAAAAAGGGATTTTTGACAGGAGAATACCGTGTACCGTACAGTGACAGTTGTCAACATTGACACATCTGGCAGTGAGATTGGCTATGAAATCGAAATCGACGTGGAACATTTGCCAATTTCCAAGTGTGATAGTTTCCAAGAAAGTTTCCATAGCAACGGTGTCGCTAAGGGAATTTTTCATATTTTTCAACTGAAAAAAATCGACACAAACGTCAAGTTGCGGAGCATTGAAATTGTGATCAATCGATCCGAAGCCCAATGAGTTGGTGGCGAGGGTGGTTAAACAAAATGTGGAGGAAAAATGTTGACAGCTGTCAAAAACTGACATTATACATGAAAACTGCATAAAAAATTTGCGAAAAAATGCACCCTGATGGAAAAATGCTTACCAAAAATCGAAATATGGCACAATCGTTGTAAAATTGATACCAAACGATTGAAAAAAGTGTGACGCAACGACTCAAGTTATCCGTAGCTAAGTCAGCTACATGTTTCGAGCAAAGTGGCACATGGTTGGGTGACTATGGCAACCAAACAAACAGCAGATTGTAGCCGATCCGAAATAATGCAAATGTCATCACTCGACATTTGCTCGAAATGTCAACAAGAATGACGCTAGAGTGCTCGATAGGTTACCTACCCGATTGACATGACGATGGAAAATAACTTGTGAAAATTCGAAACATGAACCGATTTGCAAACTGACAACACTGTTCGAAAGCCAAGGTATTGGTGTATCGACACCGTTAGAGAGTTGATTGAGAAAAAAATGCCTGCTATCAAATTTGAGCGAAACATTGCATGATCAGAAATTTTTCCACTCAAAAGTAAGGTTATCGAAAACTTTGTTGAATGACCTTGAAAATCTCAACAAACAGACATGTAAGCATGCCAAGTCCATGTCGAAATTATGAGTTCGATCGATACCGTACCGAACGTACCGGCACGATTCTACTAAAAGGCTGCACAAACGTGTTTGGTGGTTTTCAGCATTTTCAAATTTTTTCCAAAGTTATTTACGGACCAATCGGCAAAGTGTCAACACCAATCGATGGTCTAAAGATCCAGTAATCGATCTGTCGAACAGATATGTCAAAAATGTAAACAGTCCGAATGTCACCGCGATGGAAAGTGGTGATTGTCATTTTATCGATAAAGACAATGTTGTGCAAACAGCGCCATCTACGATCATGGTATCTGCCCACGATTGTAGCCCCGGATCATACTATGTTGTATGTAAAATTCCCATCTCTCCACATCAAACGGTTTGAACGGGGGAATTTTTTGAAAATTTCCACCCAAAATCAGAAAAAAAATTCTACATTTGAGGTTAGAAAGAAAATATTGACATATTATGCATATTTGGAATATTTGGACACCATTGTCAATGATGTGTCAATGAAAAATGTCAAAATTGACAGTTGACGTTTATTTGACATACATCATCCATAAATATGGTCCGTCAGATGACAACTGTGAAATGTGAATGATCTGTGACTGTTCGTGTCGAAGAACAACGATAAAAATCGTTTTTCCGAAACTCTGAAATGTCAGTGTCAAAGCAAACGTCACTGTTGGAAAGACTGTTCTTTCAGTCAATTTTACTGGTAACTTTCAAATCGATTGATCTTTCGGTTACGATCCTATAAATAAAGAATGTCGAAATGTCGATTTTGCATCGATTGCTTTTCGAATTTTCATCAGACAAACGATAAGTTTGAGTGAGGTTATGGTCATTACATAATTTGACATAATTAATTTCCATAATTATAATTTCCAAATTGTAAGTAACCTTTAAATTATGATCAATAGGTGTCGATAAATCTACGTAATTAATTAAAAAACAGGTCGTTTACTTTTTAATGAAAATACTTAGAAAAATATATAGAAGCAGTGACAGGTTCAATTTGTCTCATTTACTTTTGTGCACATGTGCGTAAAAGTAAGGCAAATGAACAGTAGAGAAAAGTGCTTCTTTTTGATCATCGCTTCTGCCTGAAAAAAGTCGGTTTTTGATTCATTCGAATAAAAAATTAATTATTGTATGCCACATAATCAAGATGTGTACTTAATAAGAGCTTGCAGCTTCACAAACAAGCAGTTCCCCAACCCTATTCGGAATAATGATGAAAAAATATCTAGTAGCATGAACTGTTAGGGTCGATTGTCTACTCTCCATCGACTTTAAACATTATATTATGAGACTATTAAAAAACAGACAGGCTGAAAGTTGCAGCATTCACTTCCACGTTATTCCGCTTAAGTTTTATTATTAGGACGTGAAAGCAAAAATATTTACCCGAATAAACAAACGATAGAGCAACTAACTGCCAGCCTGATAAATAATTACTATTTGGGCAAAGATGTAAACTGGAAGTATATTTATTTAAGTTTATACGATTATTGGAAAATCCACATGCGATTGTTTATTTTTCATCGCATCGAAACATTCGAATACACGCTATGCTTCTGTCCTGTTAAAAGAAGAGGGTTAAATTGAATAAAGGAACAGAGTGTGTTTATATTGTTCGGTTCCTCGAAGTGTTGGAGTTGGATGAAAGTTGTGTCATTTGATCATTATTTAAATGCTTTTCTTCACATGCTTAATTTCTCACTTCACAACGCAAAATATTGATAAAGACAAAAAGCGAGCAACAAAATGTTGGCACGCTTTCACATTTTTTAGAACAAATTATTTTGTTATGAGAGTTATATGAACAAATTATTATATCGATTTCGTCAGCCCTAATTAATAAATCATGGTTTATGGTTAAAGCCGCGCCTGCTAAAACCGTATGAACGAATCGGGCAATTGCCGTGCGTATTGATTGATTAAGTGCAAATGTGTTCAAGCCGTTAATTAAGATTGGAAAATGAGGTAAAGCCGCCAATAAAAATTGCCTTAAAACTTGTTGAAACTGTTTATAACTGGAGCATATCAAATCTGGCGACTAACCATCATCGCCCTTTACTGTTTCCAAATATTTGATTTTTATTCGAAAATTAATTAGCAAATTCCGAACGGAAATCGTGTTTATTTGAAGAAAAAGCATGCGTTCGCCCACGGTTCGTTTACGTTCACGATGAAATTTGTTGAAATTCTGGTGTATAATAAATGACAGTTTATGCGAAAATCCGTATTTTAGAGGCTGAGAACTGTTTAAATCGAACCATCTAATAATGTTTTCAACGGGATATTTTTCCTTCGCGGTAAAGTTAATAAACAAACGATAAAAATCAGCGAAGAGAGCTGAAGATGTTTGTATATGCCGTTAGATTGAGACTGACATTTAACAGCCTCTAAACGTGTAAACACACAAATTGCTATGCACTATATTGTGTGTTTATTGGTTGTTCTATACGATGTTTAGAGGCTACTTTATCATTTAGATTGATTCCTCGAATACAATCGAGCAAAAAAAAATTCATAAAAGCCTACTACAGATTGCTGATTATTCACTGCTTACCTACCGTTCAAGTGCACTAAATTACCCCTTCTAACAAGCCAAACTGCAGCAATTCAAAAATATTTACTTACTTGGTCGGGTGGCGAATGGCTTAATAGGTTGCATGCTATATACAGAATCGTTGCGTGAGACATTGTAAGAATGGCTGCTGAAGAAACCCGGTATTCCAGACAGCATATCTGATTGGCACCCACCAGCAGAATTCAATCTGCTAATATGAAAAAAGCGTTAAAATCGTCAAAGAAAAATGTTCAAAAGTGAAACATCGCAGTGGATAAATACATGAAAATTAGGCATGGGTAACACTGTGTTGAGTGGGGCTTTGAGTTGTATGCGATAATGAGTTATAACTGCGCCGCACTTTGATTTACCTGAGATTTAGTCGAGGCCGAGATAAAAAGCTTTACGAGGTCTGAGACTGGAATGTTAACACGTTAAAAAAAATTCACCACATTTTTTGTTCAAATATTCAACAAAAAGTTAGAAATTGGCACATTAATAGGGAAAAGCATTCTCTGTTAGGCAAACAGTCAGCCTAGTTATAGTGTAAGTTTGGTTGCGGTTGAGCTTTTGGTTACTTCGCAGGAAATTTTCAAATAAACGAAATAAAATTGAAATAAACGGCGAAATTTGAATAAGATATGCAAGATTAGGCCTAAATGTTATGGATTCTGCCACACTTTTGCCCATTTCTCAGCATCAGATTAAGCTGGAGCACTGGATGGAGAGATGGAGAGAGGAAACTTTGGCCACCACGATTTAGCATCCAATTTCCAAATTAAGGAAAAATCTTCAATACAAAAGTTGTAGATATTATATTAGATAATTGATACAGGGTGTCGCAAATGCAAGTGGCAGAGCAAACTTACCTTTTTTTAAATAGGATGCCCTACTTTTTATTGCATATTCAAACTACTCGCACAATTCTAAGCCTTCTCCATATAAATGTTCTGTAATGATTTTCAACTGTTTTCGAGTTAATAACCCATATTGATTGAACTTTGGCCACCCCACATTTGCATCTAATTTAAAATTTCCAGAAAAATGTTAACTACAAAAATTGTTGTAGACATTAACGTCTAGTTTATTGCACAAAAATGATATTTTGTTTTTTCTGTTTACAACTTTGAATCTAATGGAGCAATCGGAATGCCGCAACGAAATGATTTGTAGATAATAAAACTATCTACAAAATGAGGGGTCGAACGCCCCAATCGGATTGTTAGTTTTTTGGGCGGTTTTTCGAAAATTCATAGCTCCGTCATTTTTTTTGAGCTGGAACTCTAAAATTTTGAGCGATCGAAAGGATCATGATGTCTTTTATATGTACTAAAGGTGGCTGCTTTTGGATTATTAGTTTTCTCAAAATCGCGATTTAAAAGTAGAACTAAGCCTTTGACCATGTCGGTCAGTTAAAAATTGATGAAAATTGTTTTAGTTTTTAAACCTACGTTTGCAGACTGTCTGAAATTGTTAAACTGCAAGGAAACATAATTTTTTTGCGCAAAAGCTATGAATGCCACAACGTTTTACAAAGAGCCCAAAAATGTCCAAAAAGGATCGCCTCAAAAAATTCAGTTGATTTTGGCTACCAAATTGAAAGTTCTGGTAGTTTTCGAATCAAGGCGCTTAAGAATTCCTGGCTTGCCGAAAGCAGACAAACTTGGTAGCGTCAATTCAAAGAGAGTTTCATTAAAATCCATCTGAGCGCGCTTCCGATCTTAGAAAACGAAATTTTTCACTTTGACCATCAATAACTGAATGAATCACCGCACATTTTTTCTCAATAAAACTTAGGCCATACGATATTCAATTGGCAGCTCATTTACATGTCTTTACGGGACACCCTGTATTAAATGCTTGTTCAGTTTGAAGCGGAAATTAGTGGTTCTGATAAAGTTTCTACAGCGTGAAATGTTTCGAAATCGAAAAAATATAAATATTTTTCTCATACCTTCCCAGTGAGCCCCTAATACCCCTTAAAAGGAATGCCAATTTTGAATCACCCTGTATATTTTTACATCAGGCTCATCTGAAGCTTCTGATCAGGCTCATCTGAATGTCAATTTTCCAAGTTGTTATTTTTTATTGAATAGTCTGCAGTGGCGTTAAAGCGTTCTCTTTCAGATCTATATTTACAAAGTGCGCAAAATTCAGCATCTCATGTGTGATTTGAGTGAATTTTTGAAGGTTTGAAGAAATTTTGACGACATTTAGAGCGCACTCTTCATTACAGCACCCACAACTCTAAACTTGAAGAGTCTGTTTCATTTCGGATAAATTTATTTTAAAAAATCGCGATGAAAAATGGTTTTTGCTACAGTTTTTTCAAATCGTGCGCAAAATGTTCTTAACTAGGTATCGCATTTAGAGCACACTCGTCCTTATTGAGCGCACAACTCTGAACATCAAAAGTATTTTTCGTTTTTGAGTTTTTCGTTGATTCATCGCGTCTGACTGTGCGGCACTTT